CCGCGTGCTCTCTCAAGCGCGTCTGTTTCGAGCTCCCTTGGGTGCTGCTGCGGCCGGGGGCTCTCTCAAGCGCGTCTGTTTCGAGCTCCCTTGGTGCTCCTTTGGCCGCAGACTCTCTCAAGGGTGTTGTTTCGAGCTCCCTTGGGTGCTGTTTCGGCCGCGGGCTCTCACAAGCGCGTCTGTTTCGAGCTCCCTCTGGGTGCTGCTTCGGCCGCGGGCTCTCTCAAGCGCGTCTGTTTCGAGCTTGGATGCTCCTTTGGCCGCGGGCTCTCACAAGCGCGTCTGTTTCGAGCTCCCCTGGGTGCTGCTTCGGCCGCGTGCTCTCTCAAGCGCATCTGTTTCGAGCTCCCCTGGGTGCTGCTTCGGCCGCGTGCTCTCTCAAGCGCGTCTGTTTCGAGCTTTTTGGTGCTGCTTCGGCCGCGGGCTCTCTCAAGCGCGTCTGTTTCGAGCTGCCTTAGGTGCTGCTTTGGCCGCGGGCTCTCTAAAGCGGTCTGTTTCGAGCTCTTTTCGGTGCTGCTTTGGCCGCGGGCTCTCTCAAGCGCGTCTTTTTCGAGCTTCTTTGGTGCTGCTTCTCTCGCCACCGCACGCGCACTCTCGCTCCCGCAGCGCTCACGCGCGTCGCAGAGCCGACGTCCGCCGACCCCACGAACAACGGCGCCCCCGCGAACTCTCGGCAAGGCGCAGTTGTGCCCTCTTCCGCGGACTTGCACCAGGAACGCGGAAGCTCGCAGTCGAGGGGGGCTTCCGCGCGGAGTAGCCGCCGCGCCGCGCCGAGTCCGCGAGCGAGAAAGCCCGTCGGACCCCGCGCGCGGCGCGGCGCCCACTGCCGCGCGGAAACCCAGGGGGCCACGTCCAGTTTCCACGCGGCGGCCCCTGGGGAAGGCTACGCGGGCGACTCTGCACCCGCCAGGGTCGCGGTCGCGCGCGTAACTTTCGCGAAGGACGACTCTCGAATCGCGCTAATGCTGACATATCTGTTTCTGGGACGCACATCACTCACTCAGGCTGACGCCAGCACTCCTTCCCCCCTTGATAGGGGGGAGCGTGGGAGGTAGATCCCTAAACCCTAAAAGCAATGACTCTGGGTGGATGGGGTGGGACAGAACGCATCCATCCATCCCCCCCTACCTCCTGAGGAGGGGGGGATAGGATGGTTCTGCGCAGAAACCCTAAACCCTAAACCCTAAACCCTAAACCCTAAACCCTAAACCCTAAACCCTAAACCCTAAACCCTAAACTGCAGGCGCGGCCCTGGGGGCGCGCATCGCCACGCCTGTAAGGATCTGCTAGTGAGAGCGAGCTGCCAGTCGAGCTCACCGCCACAATCGGCCTGCCGGCCTGAGGCTGTGTCTCGCTCAGAAACACATAACCCCTAACCCGGGGCCGGATGCTCCCAAATCGCGGCCGGCCCTGGTGAGTTTAGGGTATTGGGCCGCGGGTTTAGGCTTTCCCTTAAAAACCATTGGATTTCCTTAGAAACTGCCCCAGGACGCTTGGCTTCGCTACGGAAGCGCGCTGCGGCGCTTAGATAGCCGAAATCGTAAAATTAGCGCTTGGGTTTGCCCGCCGCCGCGCTGGTCCCCCTTGTCGCGCTCGCATGCAGCCTCTCTGATATCCAAGCACTTGTATCGGCGCTTAAAAACCTCCGGATTTGCTTAAAACTGACCCCAGAACGCTTGGTTTCTCTGGAAGAGCGCGCTGGGGCAGGTTTTATTGCCGAAGGCGTAAATCCAATGGTCCAAAGGTTCTGTGCGTCCGCCGGCCAAAATCCTCCCTGATGCCGGCCGGCATCGCGGAGGATTCTGGGGGGTACCCACAACGAGCTCCCCCGGGCTCCTTGGCTCCTTGTGGGCTCCCATAACGAGCTCCCCCAGGCTCCTTGTGGGCTCCCACAACGAGACCCCCTTCCCCCCAGAGCTCTCCCCCAGAGCTCCCCCCAGAGCTCTCCCCCAGAGCTCTCCCCCAGAGCTCTCCCCCAGAGCTCTCCCCCAGAGCTCCCTCCCAGAGCTCTCCCCCAGAGCTCTCCCCCAGAGCTCTCCCCCAGAGCTCTCCCCCGGAGCTCTCCCCCAGAGCTCTCCCCCAGAGCTCTCCCCAAGAGCTCTCCCCCAGAGCTCTCTCCCAGAGCTCTCCCCCAGAGCTCTCCCCCAGAGCTTTCTCCCAGAGCTCTCCCCCAGAGCTCTCCCCCAGAGCTCTCCCCCAGAGCTCTCCCCCAGAGCTCTCCCCCAGAGCTCTCCCCCAGAGCTCTCCCCCAGAGCTCTCCCCCGGAGCTCTCCCCCAGAGCTCTCCCTCCAGAGCTCTCCCCCAGAGCTCCCCCCCAGAGCTCCCCTCCAGAGCTCTTGGCGTGAAGGAGCTCCCAGAGGATCGTTCCCAGGGTAGTGAACAAAACATATCCTCAAGAGCGTGCGCAGACCTCTCTGGGAGAGCTAAACCAAGGAAAATTACCGATATACCGGATTCACATTCCCCCGCCCGCGCGGGCCTAGGTCGCACGCGTAACTTTCGCGAAGGACGACTCTTCTCATTCATCCCTGGTACGCGGCCACTCACTCTTGCCGACGCCTGCACACTTCCCCCCTTGCTAGGGGGGAGCGAGGGGGGTAGACCACCCTAAACCCTAAAAGCAATGACTCTGGGCGGATGGGGCGGGACTCAACGCACCCATCCATCCCCCCCTACACCCTGGTGAGGGGGGGATAGGATGGTTCTGCTCGGAAACCCTAAACCCTAAACCCTAAACCCTAAACCTTAAACCCTAAACCCTAAACCCTAAACCCTAAACCCTAAACCCTAAACCCTAAACCCTAAACTGCAAGCCACGGGCGGTGCATCGTCAGAAGCCCGTGGCGCCTGGCCGAGCGATCAGCGAGTCCGCCCATGCGCGCACGCCGCACCGACGAAGCGGCGATAGCCGCTGAGGAGGATTCGCATCCCGCGGGTATGCATCCCCGTGGGTGTGCATCTGAGAAGAGAAAGAACCCTTAACCCAAAGCTCAGCCGTAGGCTTCGCTACGGTTGGTGCCATCCCCTGGGGCTCCAAACCTATGAAAATACAGCATGCAGCGCCCTTTCGGCCGTCCATGGGGCCGCAAACCATATGAAAATGCAGCATGTGGCGTCCTTTCGGCTGGTGCACGTCCCAGGCGCTCCCAAGCGCTCCCAGGCGCTCCCAGGCGCTCCCAAGTGCTCCTAAGCGCTCCCAGGCGCTCGCAAGCGCTCCTAGGCGCTCCCAGGCGCTCCCAAGCGTTCCTAGACGCTCCCAGGCGCTCCCAGGCGTTCCCAGGGCGTTCCCAGGCGTTCCCAGGTGCTCCCGGGCGCTCCCAAGCGCTCCCAGGCGCTCCTAGGCGCTCCCAGGCGCTCTCAGGCGCTCCTAGGCGCTCCCAGGCGCTCCCAGGCGCTCCCGGCACGCTCCCAGGCGCATCCTGGCGCTCCCAGCATGCTCCCAGGCGCTCCCAAGCGCTCCCAAGCGCTCCCAGGTATTCCCAAGCGCTCCCGGCACGCTCCCAGGCGCTCGAGCATGCTCAGGCGCTCCCTGCGCGCTCCCAAGCGCTCTCTGGCGCCTCCGAGCGCTCCGGGGCGCTCCCAAGCACTCCGAGGCGCTCCGGCACGCTCCCAGGCGCTCCCGGCACGCTCCCAGCACGCTCCCAGCACGCTCCCACTGCTCCCAGGCGCTCCCAAGCTCCCACAGGTGCTCCCAAGCGTTCCCTGGCGCTCCCAAGCGGTTTTCAGCAGTCCGAGCGGTCCCATGGCGCTCCCAAGCGTTTGCATGCATTCGCAAGCGCTCGGCAGCGCTCCCTGGCGGCGCTTCCCGGCGCTCCCCCGCCATGCAGGTGCTGCCGCAGCCCTGCGCGCGCATCGTAGCGAGGGGGTGCCAGACCCACCCCCTCGCGCTCCCCCTCCAGCCATGCGAAATTCGCGCCGAAGGCGGCTGCGTCGACGCTGCAATCGCTTCAGCGGGGGCGACGCCAACGGTCGAACCCAACGGACAATTCACGGCTCGCACTCGCGGTGCACTCTGCGTGTCCTGTCACGCTCCCAGACGCTCCCACGTGCTTCCATCCTGGGGAAAGGTCGAGGCGCTCCCCCAGCGCTGCCAGAGAGCTCCCCCAAGGCATCCCAGGGGGTCTGCCATGGACGTGCTGCCGCAGCCATGCGCGCGCATCGTAGCGAGGGGGTGCCAGACCCACCCCCTCGCGCTCCTCCTCCCGCCTTCCGAAGCTCGCGTCGACAGCGTCTGCGGATGATTGCAATCGCTTCAGCGGGGGCGACCTCAAAGCAAAACCCAAAGCCGCGGGCGAATACAACTGCCGTGCGCGTCCCCGTCAGCGAGGAGCCCGACGGCGCGGCTACTCGCTCGAGGCCCACGGGGGCCCATGGGATTGCCGCGCCAGCGCCCTCGCAGTGCTGCTTTCCAACGCCGAAGGCAAATGCGGACCCCTGTGGATCTGCTGCGCCAGCGGCAGCCCAGCGGCGAAGCCCCCTGCCGAAGGCGCAACAGCTGCCTCATCGACGAGGCGAGCTGACGCGCCAGCGCCATGCACCCTGCGCGCGTGCCCGCATGGGCGCGCATTGCCACGGCCGCGACCGCGCGCGCGCTTCCCAGCATTCGCACCCCAGTGTCACAACCCAGTGCCGAAGGCAAAGGCGGCAACGCACGGACATGCTGCGCCAGGGGCAGCCCTGCGCGCGTGCTCACGTGGATGCGCAATGCCACGGCCGCGTCGGCGATCGCCTGCGCGCGCCAACACGAAAGCCCCCCTTGATAGGGGGGTTGGGGGGAGAAACCCTAAACCCTAAAAGGCTTTACTGTGGGTGGTCTGGGGCGGGAGTGCAAGTTCATAGCGCGCGCGGCTTGGGCAGCGATCCCCCCCAACAACCTTGATGTGGGGGGGATCGCAGCCAGCGCGCGCATGCGCCCATGCAGGCCCTAAACCCTAAACCCTAAACCCTAAACCCTAAACCCTAAACCCTAAACCCTAAACCCTAAACCCTAAACCCTAAACCCGCCGCGCTCGAACTCCACGCGCACCTTCAGCACCTCGCCAGAGTCCCGCGCGAGCTTGATGTCCGTCACCATGCCGCGGGCGCCGTTGACGAGCCCGTCGCTGATGTCTAAATTCCGACGGAGCATGACCTTGGCCCCGATGGCGAACCGCGCGTCTGACTCGAGGCCGCCGGTGTCCTCGGGATTGTCGTAGCCCGTGTCGACCTCCACCGGGAGCCCCGTGCGGTGCGACGTGTCCTGCGCGGGCGCGGCGCGCACCTCGAAGCCGTGCGTCTCCGCGTGTCGCTCGAGCATCTCCTCGTTCACCTGACGGACAGCCTTCCGGGTCGCCAGTAGGTGCGGCGCGCGGCTGTCCGCGGGTGGCTTGCGCAGTCTGGTCCGAAGCGTCGCGAGGTCGGCCTCGGTGTGCAGGCCTTTCCGGACTCTCTCCAGCAGAGCGGCGTAAGCGGGGTCCCGCGCCGCTCGGTGATTCCCCTCGAGCTCACAGAGCAGGAACATCTTCCACAGCTGGACAGCCGCGTACGCGGGCTGGCCCTTCGGGGGAGGAAGCTGGTAGAGGTCCCCACAGAGGAGCAGGTGAAGGCCGCCGAATGGCACTCCCGGCTGGCGCTTGTAGATCTGCAGCCGCGCGTCGATCCGAGCGAGCATCTCCGCGGAGACCATGGAGATCTCGTCGATCACCAGCACGCGGACAGGCTTCCAGAACTCGATCAGGTGCTCCAGCGCGGGCCCGGAAGGGGGCGGCGCGTCCGAGGCGTAGCCGAAGGACTTGTTCTCAACTGGCAAGTGGAGGCAGGAGTGCAGGGTGCAGCCGTTGATCAGGAAGGCAGCGCACCCCGTCGGCGCCGCAAGCGCGACGCCGTGCCCCTCCGTCCGCAAGAGGCGCGCGACGGCGCGGACGACCACGGACTTCCCGCATCCGCCGGGACCGTGGAGAAGGACGCGCGCGGGGGCGCGATTGCCCTGGCGCACCTGCTCCAGGAACCAGTAGACGATGTCTTGCTGCTTGGACTTCTGCGCGTCGGGGCCGAAGAGCAACTGCACGGCCTCGTCGCCGCCGGCCACTGGTCCGAAGGCGCTAATGGCGTGCGGCGCGGCGCCCGCCAGCTCCTCGTCGGGGCGGCCAGCGGCAAGGCGGAGGCGGCGCAGCAGTTCCCGGTGGTTCTCCCAGTCCTCCGCAGCCCCTGGCGTCTGCATGGCGGACCGCATGACGAGGGCGCAATTGAGCCGCTTCAGCTCCCGCCACGCGGCCTCCGCGATGTTCAGCTTCGGGAAGACCGTGGACTTCAGGAAGAAGTCGGGCGCAGGGAGCTCCGCCTCTTCCTCGCGCGCTGGGGCGTCCGCTGGCGGCGCCTCCGCTTCGTCGCCGTGCTCTCCTTCATTGCTGGCCTTCGACAGGCGGACGAAAGCACTCTGGTGACTGCCGTCGTCCGAGGGAACCAGCCACTCCGGCCCGTCGTCCTCATCGAAATCGGCCCACGGGTAGTGCAGGAGGAGCTTGGAGTAATAGTGCGCCTCCGTCTCGCGCTCGGGGTCGAAAGCCTTCGTGGACACGATTGCTGGCTGCGCTCTCAGCTTGGGGTCGGAATTGTACGACGTCGAGTAGGACGCCACGAAGTCGAACAGCGTCACTTCGCGAGGGCTCACCCACTCGTAGTTCTCGGCGGCCCTGCCTTCCACGAGAAGCGGAACCTGCTCCCCAGTGTCGTCGAAGACGGCGACCTTCCCCGCGCGCCACTCCGCATAACGGCGGATCACTGCGGGCGCCGTGGGCTCGGGCGCGTTCTCCGGGTTCGCGATGGCCTGGCGCCAGAGGTGCCGCGGCACGTAGGCCGAGTAAGACTCGGGCATGCCGGCATGGACCCACTGGAACTCCCTTGAGATGCGCACCACGGGAAGTCCGAGGAGGTGGTGGCACGCTTCGAACGTGGAGGTCACGCGGCCCTGAGTGCCGATGTAAGCGAGGCGGTACACTTGCTTGCTCGTCACAGGCCCGGTCGCCGGCACCCTCGCGATCTCCTGGTTGAGCTTGCCCACGGCGTCCTTCGCGGTGTCGTTCTTCAAGCAATAGCCCAGAATGTACCGAGCCACCGCATGCAAGTTCTCGACGACCTGGAGGTCCATGGAACCGCGCCACCGGCGCAATATCCGGGGGTTGTACAGGCCCATCATCGTGTCGCCGCTGCGGCGCCGCACGAAGTACTTGTTCTTGGAGCCGTTGTTCCAGAGCTCTCGCTGACTCTTCTTTCGGCTCTTCTCCACCGGCTGCTGCGGGAACCCGAAGCGGCAGCGTCCGAGCGAGTACTTCCCGCAGTATGGTCCGTGCTTGTGCATCAGCGACTTCGTGAGCAGCGTCATCACCCCGTCACGATAGACTGCACGCCACCTCTTCGGCCCCGTCGTCCGCGTATAGACGTCGTAGATACTGGCGACGTTGTCCACCTTCGACGGGCCCAGGAGCTCGTCGTCCGTCTCCGAAGCCGCCCCGTCAAGCCAATCTGCCGCGGGGCGCTTTGGGGTTGCAGGCGGCTCGCCCTCTGTCTCTTCGCCGCCGCGCTCTGCCGCTTCGCCACCGCCGCGAGGTTCCGTGTGCGGCTGCGGCGGCGGCGGGGCTCCGCCGACTCCAGAGCCCGCGCGCGGTGGCGCGTAGTCGACGGGCTTGGCGAACAGCTGCAGCGCTCGCAGCTCCACGAGGAACGTCGGCGCGAAGGGGAGGGCGTCCTCGACGAGGCCGTAGGTCTCTCGGGCGGCGACCCACTCCTCCTCGGACGGCACCTCTCGGTTTACCGATGCGGATGTCCAGCCCGCGATCTGGGCGCCAGAATCTACGGCGCGCGCCAGCCACTTCCGCTCCTCGCCGACGACGCCGACGGGGCGCGCGACGACGGTGGAGGAGCCAGACGCCAAGACGTCCATGTGCGCCGCGTCGATGTCCCAGATACAGTTGACCTTCACGCAGTCGGGAAGGTATCGGCGCGGCGGGGGCAACAGGAGAACCCTGTCCGTCGGCGGCCCTGCGTCCGTGGGGCGAAATACATGATCACCGCAGGCGCGCGCACCAGGGTCGGCGTACGGCACCGCCTCTGCCAGCTGCTGCACCATGCGCACGTGCACGAGGAACGTCTTCCTGTAGAGGCACGTCCGCCGGCTCATCCCGTGCTCCTTACTCTTCTGGCGCCACTCGTCCTGCGACATGACCTGCCGGGCGCCTGCCACGTGCGCCACCGCGACGATCTGGGCGCCCGCGTCCGCAGTGCACGCCAACCACTTGCGCCCTGCGTCCTTCAGCCCGCGCGGCCTCACGACCGCGCTGGCCTTCCCGGAGAGGAGCTGATCCAACTGCTCCTTGCTCACGCGCCAGATGGAGTCACCGGCCACGGGCGGGGCCGCGTCCGGGTGCGGCTGCGCGACCTCTTCCGCGGCGAGCCGAGCGTCGCGCTCGGCCCCCCAGTCGCCCACCCACAGCAGCATGTGCGCATGGGGGAAGCCCCGCTTCTGCCATTCCACGCGGCTGACGAAGTCTTGCGCGACGAAGGGGGGCGCTTCGTCCAGGTTGTCGTCCCAGCAATCCCACTTGACGTCGCCCTGGAGCAGATCCATGTATCCGACATCCTCGGCGCCCGTGGGCGCTTCGCCACCGTCCGCCGCCTCCGTGCCGCGAAGCAGAGTCGGCTTTGGAAACGGCGGGCAGCTCTCTCCCTTTGTCTTCCGCGCCTCGGTGATCCAGCTGAGAAATCTTTCCAACTGCCGGTTCCACTCGCGCTCGACGTCTGCAGGGAACTTCTGGCACAGTTGAAGAGCTGTCATCCCAGTTCGCCTGGTCTCCGAGACGCTCTCGCACGCCGCGGCCGCGTCATTCGTGCCCTTGATCTTCTCGTCGCACTGCGGGCTGCCATCCCACTTGTGCTCTGGGTCGTTCGTGTACGCCAGCACCTGCGCGGCGACAGTCTTCTCCACACGATCAAGCGGCAGGCCGGGGCTGTCGTTGTAGAGCTGCGCCTTTACGCACGCTGCGAGCATGTGCGGCTGGCGCTCGTGGCTCGTGAGCGTGAGGAAGAAATCAGGGCGCCCGAGCTGGCGCATCATCTGGACGCAATGGGTGCGCTTCTGGCCCAGGAACGCGGTCGTGCCGGGCACTTTACCTTGCACGGCGTATGCTCTGCGCTCCGCCGCTTCCCGACCCGGCACCTCGCGCTTCCCCACGAACACGGACGTCGCGCTGCTCAAGCTCTTCCGGAACCACGTCTCGAGCTGGTAGAAGGTGTAATCCGGATTCTCCTGGAACTTTGTCTTGCAGTCCAGCAGGCGGCGCCACGCGTAGCTGCTGAAGCGAAGCTCTTCGGGGCAGGAGCCCTCGCCCCCCGGGAACAGCGTCGGGAACGCCAGCGCCTCCGTCAACGGGCGAATCTCCGCCGACTCCCGGTTCTTCTGGAGGTCTCCCACAACGGCGCCGACCGGAGCGGGCCCGCCCGCGGTGAAGTACGTTGCGTCTCCTTCGAAAGCGCCCTGCGCCGCCGCCTCGGCCTCCGGGTCGATCGCTTGGCGATCGTCAGCAAGCTTCTCAGCGAGCTTCGTCTCGAGGGCCTTGATGGCTGCCGTTGCCTGGCCCAGCACGGAGAAATCGCGATAGTATGCGTTATTCTTCGCGAGCCACTTCAGCGCGTCGAGGAGCTTCTGAGCGCGCGCGGGGACTGCCCAGCCGGGCGGGACGCCCCGCGGCCGGAGCCAGAGCACGCCGTCGGTGATCTCCATGCTGGCGCCGCCGAGCACCTCGCAGGCGCGCGGCGCTTCCAGCGGCGCAACGAAGGTCCCGCCCTTCGCCGTCGCCGTGCCGCCCTTGGGCGCGTGCACCATGACCACGTTCGTCTCCACCAGCTGGAGCAATCGCTCCTCGTGGCGAGTGAGTCCTCGAAGCGGCTCCGGAGTGTTCCCCGTGTCGATGGCATCCCGCGAGACGCGCGCCCCGCGATCCTCCGCCCGCACGCAGTAATCGCAGATGCGCGGGATAATCTCGGAGGCGTCCTCGCGCAAGGTCTGTGCGATGAGGTCTGACGGGCACTCGCGCTTGCAGTGGTGCTTGGAGACCTTGACGCCGCAGGCGAAGCACACGACGCTGGGGCTATCCAGCGAGAGCTCCTTTGCCCACCGCAGCCAACTCTTCTCGTACTGGACGCTCGGGTCGCCCGAACGGTCCGCCGCCTCTTCCTCAAGGACGAGGCCACTCGTCTTTTGCAGGTCCTGGCGCGGGTCGGCCCCGGCCGCCGCGAGCAGCGCCCGGTACTTGTGACCGTCAATCCCGAAACACGCGCAGAGGTTGTTCCGGCTGAACAAGTACTCCAGCGTCGAAGCTCTCTCACTCTGCATCTCTCGCACCAGCGCCTTCTGCTCCTCCGTGAGCACGCGCTCGACCGCCCCGTCGGCGCCTGACTTGAAGGTCAACCGCCCTGTGTGCGGCGCCGCGCGCGCGGCAAACTCGGCGCGCCGAGCATCGTCCTGAGTGGCGCTCTGCGGCTCATCCTTCTGCTGCTCGAGGAACTCTTGCATCGCGACCTTGAGCTTTTGCGGCCGCCGCCCTCGGGCTCGCGTGGCCGCGCCCATGTCCCGGACCTTGGCTGCGAACTCACCGTGGCGCTTCTTGCGCTTGCCTATGCAGCGCATGATGTCTCCCGTGTCTAACATCGGCTCCCCGTCGTCCGTCTTTGCGTCGTAGAGCTGGTAGAACTCTGCGAACTCCTCTTCAGTGCACTTCGCGCCCTCCACCTTTTCCACCAGATGAATGGTCAGACTGCCGCGCTCGGAGTGATATCTGTTGCGCACGTCGCCCTTGTGGATCTCCCAAGAATCGTCTGCGACCTCGTCTGCGGCCCTTCCGCGGGCGAGCGCCTCTTCGAAGTAACCCTCTACGATCTCCTTCTGGTGGTCGACAGGTATCCTGCGCGATGCCAAGTCGAAGATGTCCGGGTCGGCCTCGAAGAACTTCGCGAGCTGCGACCTAGGATGACAGCGATCGCGCGGAAGCAAGCGATTGATGATCGGTCGAACCCGATCGGTCGCCGATGCGATCGGGAGCACGTACCCAGATCAATCGACCCCTAACCGCGCCACGATGCATCGCGCAGATGCGTCTCGGGGATCGCTCGAACAAGAAACGCTCACCTGAGCAAATCGGAAACACTGGCGATCGCTGGAGCCAGCGTCTACTGCAGACCCTAAGAGCTTGCGCTGACGCTCCCCCGCCGCGCACTGGGCCTGCATGCCGTCCGCGCTGCGCCACGTGCACTTGTTGGAGAATTTCGCCAGCGCTGCCTGACCGGGCCGGGTCTGGTGGAACCGACATTGCACTCTGGCACCATGCTCCGCGCGCCCTTGACAGATGGGCGGCCCCATTGGTCAGATGTCGGATATCTCGAAGCAGTCTCGCAGACCGCACCAAGGTTTGCTTGGGCCGAGAAATCTACGGAGAGAGGCCGAGGAACGAGGCTTGGCCCGCGGACGCAGCCCATGACCCTGCGCCGCCTTAAAGAAGACGTTCATTCACACCTGAGAACATCCAAGATATGCCTGTACCCTGCAGGACCCTCGCGGCAGAGGGCCCCGGACACTCTGACTGGGTCACGGTACTATCATTCCCGCTCCCTGTATACGTGGTGCGCGTCGCGCAGTTCTCGACGGCCAGAGTGCCACGGCAGGGCACAAGCCGTGCTACACGGATGTCGCTTCATCCCCCAGGAAACCCGTTCCCAAATGAGACCGACACACCCACGCAGAAACCCTTACCAACCACACGCTCAAACTGGAATCGGCGACACCCATATAGCACGATTTCGTCGAGAAGGACCTCCGCGAATGCTCGACCGACCAGCGCCCAACGCAGAGGGCCCGAACAGGCCTCCTGTGCACGAACGCCAGACGGGTTCATTCGCAGAGATGCCCACGTCTTACACCCGCAATGGACTTGCGCCCAAAGCGAGTGAGTCCTCGCGAACTCGGAGTCCACAGGCACCTGCGCGCAGGAGAATAGCAGGGGGGATGGAAGCGCAAACACAACAGAAATAAGCCGCAGGGAGGAAAATGGAGATAACAAAGGACATGCAGAGATGGTCAAGGAGCAGAAGGCCGCGGCCCCAGCCCCGACGCAGCCAGGAACGCGCTCCCTGGCCGAATTCCTGTCCCCGGTATATGACTAAAGCGCCGACGTTGCGAAGCGCGCGAAGCGCCCGCCCAGCCTTGCCCCCCCGGGCAGCCAACCCCGAGGCCAGCTCTCCCCCCACCGGCCGGCCGGCGGCCCTGGCCGGCTGCCGCCGCACACAAGCACAGGTAAGTTTAGCACTTGGTTGCGCCGACACTTCCGAACGAAGTCTCTCCTAAAGGAACCCCTGTCCGGACCCATCCACGTGTATCGCGACGCGCGCCACGCGCCGACCGGCCCTCCCTCCCACCCCAGCGAGCGGGTCGCGGCCCCGACGCCAGCTGCCGCGGCTTTCCCGGGCTCTCAGCCCCGCCCGGCCGGAGCGCGCCCCCGAGCCGAATCCTTGTCCTCGGTGTAATACTGAAGCGCCAGTGTCGCGAAGCGCGCCGAGCGCCGACCAGGCCCTGGCCCGCCCGGCCAGCCGTCCGAGGTCGTCGCCCGAGCCGCCAGCGCCATCACGCGGCCCCAGCCCCGACGCGGCTGGCCAACGCGCCCCCTGGCCGAATTCCTGTCCCCGGTATACGACTAAAGCGCCGATGTCGCGAAGCGCGCGAAGCGCCCGCTCGACCCTTGCCCCGTGGCGACGGCCGACCCCCAGGCCAGCCCCCTCCCCTCCCAGCCGACCGGCGGCCCCGGCTTGCTGCCGCCGCGCACAAACACAGGTAAGTTTAGCACCTGGTCGCACCGACACTTCCTAACGAAGTCTCTCCTAAAGGATTCTCTGTCCAGAAACCCGCAACGAGTGTCGCGACGCGCGCCGCGCTCCTGCCCCCCCTGGCCAGCCGGTCGCGGCGCCGGCCCCAGCCGCCGCGGCTTCCCTACGCCCCCAGCCCCGCCCGGCCGGAAGCGCGCCCCCTGGCCGAATCCTTGTCCCCGGTATATGACTACTTCTCAGGCGGGGCCACTTAGGCACTCATACTCTAGCTTAGTAATTAGTTAGGCCTCGCAGTTACAAGTCCAATTGCAAGTGACTTATAAGTGATCTAACTGGAAGCTAACTGACGCAGCCGTTTTACAAAACCGTATGTCCATCGTAGGATTTTCATTGTCCGAAAACCTAACTGAAAGCTAAGTGAAACAGGCGTTTTCGCTGGAGGCATCCGTCACACGCGGTATGTTGTGAGGTCGCCGAATGCGGCCCTTCGACACGCTATATTCGCTTTGATGAATGACTGCCCTTGCCGCCCTCATTTTCCTCCGCCCCCGCCTCCTCCGCACCGTAGCCGCTTTGGGCTTATAGAGAGTTTTGAGATGGAGCCAACCACAAAAAAACAACGTAGAATTGAGATTGGCTACCGCACGTCATTTGCAGGTGCCGCCCAGATCGTTGCTCAACTTGGCGACGGCCGCACAACTGAGGCAGCGCGCCACGAGCTACGACAAGAGTTGTTACGCACTCTAGACGTCGTCACGCCCGTGGGGTCCATCCTGCAGAGATCAACCCTGAACCTTGCATCAGGCGAAGTATTTGTGTTGGACCACGTGCGGCCTCAGGCGCTGTTGTGCACCCTGTGCGCTCAATCGGCGCACTTTGCAGCTTTTTTCAAGAGATGTTTGCAAGAATCCAATTCGGGCTCTGGGTTCTTGCTCTGCACAGACGAGACGACGTGTGGAAACCAGCTCCGACCAGACTCGCGGAGGAAATGTCAGGCTATGTATTTCACGCATTCAGCTTTTCCGACATGGTTTCGGTCTCGCCAAGATGGTTGGTTCGTCTGGGCGTATGTGCCCTGTGAGATTCAGGGCGATCTCGACGGAGGACTTTCGACGCTATTCAAACTGATGTTATCTGATTTTTTCAAATCGGACCATAATTTCATGGATGGCATCATGCTTCCGTGCGGGAACGAGTGGTTCCCTCTGAAATGTGGTATCTTCGCCGTCATCCAGGACGAGAAGGCGCACAAAGAAATTGCTTCTCTCAAAGGGGCTTCGGGACTTCGACCATGCATCAGATGCAAAAATATAGTGCGGCGGACTAGCGCGCAAGATTTGGGACCATACCTGCGGGATGCCGACATTTCAGGCCCCGACGCATTCGACGAGCACACGTCTGCATCATTTTGGGAAACTGTAGATATCATATTAGCTGCACGAGACGACAGCGATCTTCTCAGACAGTCATTCGTGGATCTACAGCAGGTCGCTGGGTTGTCATACAACGCACATTCGGCCATATGGGACCGAAGTTTCAGGTTGATCTACGACCCGATCAATCACAACGTGGAGGACTGGATGCACGTATTCTGCGCTTCTGGAGGGGTTGGCCAATACGAAATCGCAAGTTTTGCTGATGCATTCACCAGCCACTCTGGGCTAAGTTTGGCAGACTTGGACGCCTTCGCGTCCAAAGTTTCGTTCCCTAGCAACTCTTCGCGTTGTCCGCCTCGTTTCTTCCAGTCCAGGATGCCTGACGAATCTGGGGGGCATTGTAAATGTTTCGCGTCAGAAACGGTCATGGCGGTGCAAGTGCTCGCACTATTCGTCCTCATGGTGGCGCAACCCCATGGGAGCCTTCCACAGCATTGCCGTTCTATATTGCTGTTGAACCAGATACTCACTATTTTCTGCATGCAGGACGACGCCGTGCATCACACGGCTGTGTTGGGCTACGCGCTGGCGCAGCATCATGCGATTTACCTCCGCATATATGGCAAGAGTTTGTGCAAGCCGAAGATTCATTACGCCTACCATTGCAAGGAAGCGCTTGCCCGTATTCGCAAGAACCTTAGTTGTTTCACGATGGAGCGGAAGCACCGCGAGGCGAAGAGCGTTGCCCTCCATTGTGGTAGGTCCGACAAATGGACCAGCCACATGTTGTTTCGAACAACGGCGCAGCGATTGAGTAGAGTTGACCAGTCAGAGCTGTTCCATGCGGAACACCTCGTGGCCCCGACGGCGCCGCCGCTTCAAATTGCGTTAGCCAGGATGTTCCCAGGAGTAGGGCCTGCAACCTTCAAGGCGGCAGCGTGCCAGACTGGCCAGGGATCGTTTAAGGCAGGGGACCTCATCGTGTGCGAGAGTGCAGGCCGCCGCGCCTTTGGAGTGTGCGATTACTTCGGTGGCGGGTCTCTCAAAGATTCTGGTCGGGCAGTGCACGCCGTTTGTTTTCAAACATGTGAAGAAATGCCGAATGGTGCGCTGGAGAAGCGCAAGTCTTGGGCGTGGGCCCCAGTCGAGGCCGTGCGCTCCGCGGTCCCATTCGTGGACCTACAGCCAGGCATGCGGCCGTTGTTGCCTGCCTTGCAGCGGATATGACCTAACATTGGCGGTCGGTTTCGAAGCGATCTCGGAAATCGGGCTGGTTCGCGCCCCCCCGCGCGGTGGTTCACCAAATGTGTCCCATTCCAACCCCCGCCCCATTCAGAAGAACACGCGTTCAATGCATTTGTGTTTCCAGAATTGTGCGTTCGCCTAGTGGCGATCATCTCGAAACCATCCGCCAACCAGCATGCCGTTCGGAGGCTCGCCCCGACGTCGGCAACCAGCCTGTCTCATATGTTGGCGGCTAACGTTCCGCGTTGCTTCAAAAAGCAAGCTGCGCCCATGCAAAGAAACGTCCCTCCTCCTCCTCATCATCCCCCTCCCCATGCCTCCATGACCCTGGGTGCCACATCCAATACCTCCTCCCCGTCAACATCCCTCCCCCCGAGCACATCCGCCCTGCCATCCGTCATCTCAACATCATTTTTGCGTACACGTAGCCACTTTGCTCAAGTGCAATGTGGCGTCAATTGCCACCGCCGCCCACGGAAGCCCGACTCGGACCAGCGCCCGTGCCAGCAGGCACCCTGTCCGCCAATGACACGACGGCCATCAAGGCGCTCACTGGTTGTAAAGCCAGCGTCCGCGGCCGCAACAAGGGCCCATGGGGAGAAGGGCGCACGCTCACCGTTCACGGTCCGCCCGACATGTTGAATCGCGCGTGGGAACTGGCTATCGAGCGCATCACTGAGAACGGACAGAACGGCGCCAGGAGGACCAGGGAAGAACAGAGGCGGCAGCAAGAACAAGACCGACAGCGTCAACACCAGCTGCGGCAACAACAGCAGCAGCAACAGCAACAACCTGCAAGAGATCCACCAGGGCTCCGCGCAGCTCCAGCACGGCCAGATCCTCTGGCGCGCTGGATCCCATCTGCAAGGTCAAGTTCGACTTCGACGA